TTCCCCCCTCTCTTTGTCTCTGTTGATAACACTATTCCCCCAGTCACTCTGGCCCATAGCCTAGGTTTCATCTTTGATTCAATGCCTAACCCCGTTCTTCCAGCTCAGGTCCAAGTCTTGATTCTCCTTCCTCTCTCAAATATTCCAAAATCCCAACACCCGCTCCTCGCCCCCGCCCCACCTTTCATGCCATTAAAGCTGTTATCTAGGCCTTCATCAGATCTTAGCTGGCTCCTCCTTCTGATCTTCCAAAAGCCTTGCTCCTTCCCTTGCTTATATTCAGACTACTATTACTCTGGTCATCCCCCTGCACGGACCGGGACCTTGTAGTGGTAGAAAGGCTTATGCATCCCAATGATTCTCAGAGCTATGTTGCCTGGAGTCTCACACTCCTGGCAAGGATACCCATGGCAAATAGGCCTGAGGGGAGGGTCTAGACAAACCATGGTCCAAACCCAAGTCCTCAAGAGCCAATGAGGCAGAAGATGATGTCTCCATGGCTGTAATGACAGAAGAAGGCTGCAGCCAGATAGAGATCTCCTCTAATCTATGCTCACCATTGCCACTGGTCCCAGATCTCCACCCTATCAAGGTTGTGTCGTTGCTAGCTCCATGCACCAGCTTCCTGATGTTAAATAAGGTCGTGTGCGGGCTTCTACCATAGAAAACAACATGCTCTCCTGTACCAACCTCCAAAAGCCCTGCAGTGATGGACCAGTGGTGAAAGAGACGGTACTAGTGAACACAGCAGACTCCAGCCATGAATCTATACATAAGGCAGCAGTGGCCTGATGGTAGTTTTGCACCTGGGTTGAGACATGGGTGTAATTCAGCAGCTGTTATTGTAACTGAAAAGTCCTGTTCAGGATCTCTTCTGCTCACTCTCCATAGGGAATGGACTAGAAAAAGTGCCCTAACCCTAGGCTGTCTTATCTGCTTTTGGCTGGATAACTACATCCAGCAGGATAACTCTCTCTGTGATTGAAAACATCCTAAGACGACAATGATTTTCACAACATGGAACAATCACACCTTGGTGCATAACCAAGGCAACAAATGACCAGAAAGAAAAACATCCATCACCTCCAGGGAACTAGTGACATACATCATTGACATTGCAGCTCTGAGTAAGACAAGATGACAGGATGAGGGTCAGCTGACAGAAGAGGGTAGAGCTACATCTTCTGGAAGGGGAAACTGGCTCAGGACAGATGTGCTAACTGCATCAGCTTCACCATCAAGGATAAGCTCATTAGTCACCTTATTCCACCCTCTTTGGGTATTAACAAACATCTTATGACCCTATGTCTTCAGCTCGGCAACAACCACTATGTCACTGTCATCAGTGTATATGCCGCAACATTCAATGCTGACTGCGATGTCAAAAACAATTCTACTCCAACCCTGGCCATATGCTGACTAACACTCGCAAGGAGACAAGATTATTGCTCTCAGATGAACTACACCCAAGAATGCTTAAAAGAACTGGCTGACATCATCATGTCACCTATGACAAAACTATCTGAAGACTCGTGGCGCTCATTAGAGGTCCCAAAAGACTGGGAGAGGGCCAATGTGGTGCCTATCTTCAAGAAAGGGAGAAAGGAGGACCCAGGGAATTATACGTCAATCAGTTTGACCTCAATACCCAGCAAAATCCTGGAAAAAATATCAAAGATTCTATTATTGATAGGCTAACAGAAGGCAGTATTTTCAAGGATAGTCAACATGGTTTCATTGCAGGCAGGTCATGCCTAACCTACCTCATTTCCTTCTACAATTGGGTAACTCACCACCTAGATAGGGGAAATGAGGTTGATGTCACATAATTGGACTTCAAAAGGGTCTTTGACCTAGTCTCCCGTGATGTTCTCATGGTAAAATTTGGAAAATGCAGCCTCAACTAGTTTATGGTCTGGTGGCTAGGTAACTGGCTTGAGATATGTCTATTAATACTCTCTGGGTCCTAACTGAGTCAACATGTTGGAAGGTGACTCGTGGCATCCCTCAGGGTTCAATACTTGGACCAGTGCTTTTCAACCTGTTCATCAATGATTTGGATTTGGGTATTAAAAGCTAACTGGCTAAGTTCACAGACAACACCAAATTATGGGGGAGTGTGGTCATGCTTGAGGACAGGCTGGCAATACAGGCTGACCTGAACAGGCTTGTGAGGGGGGCAGATCTTAACCTGATGACATTTAACATGGAGAAATGTAAAGTGCTCCATCTAGGGTGAAATAATTCGCAACACACTTATAGGCTCAGCAATGCTACACTTTCCAGCACCACAACTGAAAGAGACCTGGATGTTGTGATAGACCACAGAATGAACATGAGCCACAAATGCGA